AAAAGCCAAGTATTTGGTCAATGTTTTCATCCAATTTTCTGATTCTGTTTTGATATGGGACGAGTAAATGATGAGTAATTTAGTTGGATTTAATTAATATTTCTAAAAAGATAGCTTAAATAGCTTTTAAAAAAAAAAAATTAATTTGAACGGTTAAATTTTTGAATAACAACTGGAAAATTTATTTCATTTTGAAATTTTAAACTTGAAAATTATAATGTTACAATTAAAATTAATGCTACAAATAAATGAAGGAAATGATGAAATCATTTGAAACATTTTTCTTTTTTTTTTTTAATCCTCACAGATCTGTTAGCATTATTGTAATTCCCTTTGCTATGCTTACAATTTTAATAAAATTTTTTGATAGATACAGTATTAATTACTCTAATAGAACAATTACCGTGATATATACAGTAATTTGCTGATAAAATACAGTGTCAATTTCTGTAACAAAACAATTATCCTAATAGATACAATGATTTTCTAATAAAAGCTATCAACTTCTTCAAGGAAAATAGTTACATTTTTCGTTTCTTAGCTAAATTTCAATAAACTCTGTAATTTTTCTAACAATCGACAATTAGTAACAATCCAAATGATTATCAAAATTTAGGACACAATTAGACTTGATCAATGCTTCAGCATGTCAACAATTTCAAAGATTTCATATGAGAATGCAAATTATCATTGATTCAATCAATCATGCATTATTAAAATTATACAACTATGATATGGAATTGATAAAATTTGAGGAAACATTTGTTGGTTCAACAATTTTATTAATTATCATTTTTGGTATTCTTCTAACAATACTATTATGGTTACGACGTTTATCATACGTTTTACCATCTAATGAATTTTCACAAAATAATGTAAATATTTTGGTTAATTTTTTTTTGAAATTTACATAATTCAATGTTAAACCTATTTTATTGATAGCATTCAAACTATCAATATTTGCTGCAAAATCTTACATACGATTAAAAATTTGGAAAATAGGCTTTTATTAAATTTTAAAGTTAAATTTTAAGTTATGTTTAGTTTTGTAGGAAAGACATCAACGGGAATATTATTATTCAAAAGGAAAGGAAACACCACAAGAAGTACCAGTATCAGTACCAGTACCAGTACCAGTACCAGCATCAGTACCAGTACCAGTACCAGTACCAGCATCAGTACCAGTTGCAGGATTATCATCTGCTACTGTCAAATTTACGTCAAACTTGGTATAGATATTTTTAGGTTTCATAATTCAATGAATTTCAGTGATGTTATTGATCGATCTTTTTAAAATTTCGTAGTATTACTATCTGGAATGGAAAAGATGTTGTGATATTTATCGATCAATAAAATCAATGTATTTATTAATGAATTTATTTCTGATTCATATTTTTTTTACCTCATTTTCTTCGCTTAATTAATTATTATATATCTATTACAGTGAAAGAAATTAATTTTAGTGAATTTAATTTTAATCAATTCTTTTTTTGACTGTCACCAAATACCTTGTTTGAATAATTCTATCTTTCTTTCCTTTCTTTAGGATAATTTAGGTAAGGCGACAAAAAAGCTAACCGGAAAATCACAAAACAATTCATCGCTTAATAAATCATCTTTGAAACCTGAAATTAACTTGAAATCTGACAATTTAATTAATCCCAATATGAAATCAATGGAGGAAGTGGTTACTGTTCCAAATGAATTTCAAACGATTGCTTTTAATCAAAATGTGCGTTTCTTTTCTTTTCTTTCTATTTTTGAAATTTGAAAATATATTTTAATCTATTTTACAATTAGTATATCACTAGAACTAGCAGTACAAAGTGTAAGTGTTAATATTAAACTGATACGATAGTAGTAAACAGATCATTTTACAATTAGCATATGATGATAAGAACTAATAACAAAAACCTGAAATGTCATTATCGAATTGATAAGATAATAATGGACAGAATGACCTGGTAAAGAAAAAGGTAAATAATGATGAAATTAAAGGATAAGGTAGATAGAGCAAAGGAAATTGCTATCCGAAATGAAGCTAATATAGAGAAGGTATTTGAAGCACATATACAAAAACATCAAAAAACTTGCAAGACCAATTTATCCGATTATTCAAATAATCGTTGTAATTGTCAAATTAAACAGAAAATTTTGGAAGTGAAACGACAGGTAAATGCTAATAATTCTATTTTTGATATCTATTTTTTTTTTTCATCAAAATTTGTGATTTTTTTGTTTGCAAAACAAATGATAAAATCATTAGTTTAGATGATATAAATGATAATTTTAGATTAAAAGATAAAATCATTAGGCTTGAAAGGATGCAAAAAATATCAACAAAATAATTCTTTCGTAGAATCTTCTAAAATACAATACAATACAAGCATTGTTCATAAGTAACTAACTTATCGATCGATTACAAGAAATAAAGTTAAAGATAATTTTTCATAAATCACAAAATATTTCATCAAATCAAAGGATATTCTTGAAATATTAAATTAATAAAAGAAAAAAAAGTGTTAATTAAATTTCAATAATTATAGCGATATATACCAATTTTATTGTTTTTATCGGATGAATCATTGACTAATGACATTTCTCATTCAACAATGGATAAATATCCCATGAAAAATATAAAACAACAAAAACGCCATTATATAAGAATTTTTTAAAAAAAATTTACATAAAATTTTGCTAATTTTATTGTTAATTTATTTTTAGTATTTTTTTTTCAAACGAAATAATTAATTATTTGAAAATAAAACTTGAATTATTTGTTAGATATGATAAGATTTGCATAATTCAAAATCAATTCCTTTTATCAGGATATTTATACGTCATGTATCTTCACGTACGTGAACACTTTTATGTATGCTTATTTGTTTAGGTTTAAATAAACGTTACTTGATCATTGCTTCATTTATCATTATCTTTTATCTAATCTTTCTAATCATTTATTGTGGGATATTTGAACTCAAATGAAACAGTTATTTTTTTTTCTTCTCTCTCTCTCTCAGAAAAACTATGATGTAATAGAATGAATTTCTTTATGAAAATTAAATATTGGACAGATAAAAGGAAATAATTCAACCAATTAATGACCAATGAAAAAAAGTAATGAAATAGCAAATTTCATAGAATGACAAAAATTTAAGTTATACTTAAAAAGATAAAATATGATTTATATATTTAAAAATTGAGATAATACGTTCAGATAGTATTCAAGTAGCTTTTATATTTTATCTTTATCGTTATTTCTCATACTTTATCTTTATCTGTATCTTTTATACCTTATCATTTATACTATATCGTTATCGTTATCGTTATCTTTCATAATTATCATTTAATCCTTTTTATCTCTCATAATTATCATTTAATCCTTTATTGCTACTTTTATCATTCATATTTTACCTTTATCTTTATCTTTTATATTTTATCTTTCTTTTATATTTTTGCAATTATAAAAGCAAAAATTATACAATACAATTTATATGAAATTTTCAGTATTGTATTTGGAGAAATTAAGAATAATTTGCGAAAAAAAGTAAATAATCTTTAAAATTGTTGAATTTTACAATAAAACTATGTGTTTAATATGATTAATTCATATGATAAGAGAAAGGAATATTGTATAAAGGATTAATTAGGAAGGAAATAATTAGGAAGAAAA